CCCACAGAGGGCCATCCGACAGCAACCGACAGTTCGACCGCATGAACCCGAGGGGTCGTGGGGGCATGCCCCCTGGTGGATACCGCGGCAGGGGTGGCTACGGCGGCGGCCGAGGCGGCTATGGCGGCCCCCCGCCGATGGGCGGAAGGGGGGGTTACGGCCCTCGTGGCCGAGGGGGCTACGGTCCACCGCCGAATGCCAGAGGTGGGGGATACGGGCCTTCGCGGGGCGGCTACGTTGCTGCGGGTGTCATGGCCGGCGGGGCCATGATGTCCGGGCGATCCACCCCCGGTTACCAGAACGGGCCAGGCCCCTATGAGAGACAACAGAGTCCTCACAATGGCTACGCCGTACCCTACGAAGGGCGCCCTGACGAGGCTGCGACCAACTATAGCGTCAACAACAGCACCAATCCCTCTTTACCTGGCAGTTATGAGGCCTACAACCCCGACAGATCGAGCTTGCCGCGCGCCGAGTCGCCGCCACCCTTGCCCAGCGACGAACCTAGTGGCATGGTCGGGCAGGCGGTCGAGATGGATGCAGCCTCTGGCAGTCCTGCTCATGCCCCGCAGGGTTATGGATCTTTCGGTGGGCTTCGTGAAAGCGACGCAGACATCGCTGGCATGGTAGGCCTGCAGCAGGGAGTGCAAGACTCGTCCAACCGCCGCCACGATACGTACATGAGCGAGGGCAGCAAGTACAGTTCTGACGAGTAAGTCGTGCGCAATACCCTTCTACTCAAACGATGGCTCTCTAACATCCCCCCCCTAGGCAATACATGCCGCCACGCCAAGCCTGGGCACAGGGCCAAGGAAGGAACTCACCGAACGTGCCGTCGCCGCTAGGTGGTTCCCAGCCAGCAGAGCTCGTTGGGCGCACCTCGCCACAACAAGCGGCTGCGCAGACCAACAACTACTACGAGGACATTGACCCGCGGTTCGCGTCGTCGACGCCCCCGGCGGCAGCTGCCCAGCCACCGCCCATGCAGCCCAACCCGCCGCCATCCGACACCTATGACTACCCCCCTCGCCAGGAGCGTGGCGCTCGTGCGCGTAGCCCCGGCGCTGAGTCGGATCGCTCCAACTTCACGTCCATCTCCCAGAGGAGTGTGAACCCCCGCTGGAACCCGCCTCCACCAATGCCTGGCTACGGCGGCCAGCCCATGCCTCGACGGGCGCCTCAACCCCGGCAGCAAGACGTGCTTCTTAACAACAACCCCGACTTTCAGCTGCCCGGGGCTCGTGGCGCCAACACCAACAGGGGCCCCGGCGCTGGCATGATACCTGGCAGTGCCTACCCTCAAGGGCCTCTTTAATTTTGTCACTTCGCTCACGAGCGCGGCCGGTTGCCAACCTCCAACTAGGTGTTCACGCTAGACTTCATCTGGAGATGCGGCACTTCACTTCAAATTCATTCCTTGATCACTCGAGCCGTTTCTGGGGGCTCCGGGCGACGAGCTGTCCTTCGTTCCTGAAGATCCACGCTTCTGTCGCGCCCCCCCCCCTCCTCCCAACCGCAAAACTTTATTCTTCGCGCCCACCCGTATATATCCTGGTCTCGGATTTTCTCCATTTTTGGGCACTTCGATCCGAACACCAACCCCCTTTGTTGAAATGGGCAGTGAATGGAGACGACGGAGTTTGACAAACGCTACACATTCTACTTTTTCCCTTTGCGAACTAGCTTGTTCTTTCTTTTTGCTTTCTATACTATGTACGGAACACTCTGTTGGAGTTGCGGATTTCACAGCACCGGCCCATCCTCGGCGCCTTTGTAGATGCGGATGGGCTGACCGAGGCGGGGGTGGAGGGGTAAAGAAGACACACTTCGGGTCTCCGGGCCCGTGACGGTCGGGCAGGAGGATGTGGACGCTTTGACGAGAGCAATGGTCGAGGTTTTGGATCAAGAGGCGTCTCTCGCCTGCCGGGCCATACGCAAAGTTGGCGAACGGCTCTTGGCCCCAACCGTTACGCCACGCAGAGCAAGGATTGGAAACAGCGCGAGGCACCTAGCTTTAGTCAGGAACACGAGACGAGAGCGTATAATTCGCTGGTTGGTTGTCCATGTCTCACGTCTTTGAATATCTTGCGTGTCGGCCCTATTGTGTTCTCATGTTTGACCAGCACTAGGCGCGCATCGTGAAGGGGCGGGGGACACCGGTCCCGACGAACGACTGGACCATGACGCGCAGGTGCCGATGGGCGCGCCGCGCAGGAACAAAGTGAAGTGGCCTGATTCCGTCTGACAGCGCGGGGTGGCGCCTGCGTTTTGGACCGCCGGGGAGTTGGCAACTCGACATCCGCGCCGCTGCCCCCTTTTACCTTTTTTAGTCTAGGCTTGTGCTGTGCAGGGCTGTCGCGTGTCGAGCCCCCCCTTTCCTAAGGGCCCAAGGGAGCCAGCTATCTGGCTTGTGACAACGACCCAGACAAGGCGAGGCGAGAGCCCCTTCTAGAACGTGGTTCGCCCCTTGTTGAATCTGTCTTTTGATCGGCCAGGGATGGTGGATCGGTGGTGTGGTGCCCTATCCGGTGGCTTGTTTCTTGGTGCCGGCAATTTCGACTGCCGTGACGGCTGTGGGGGTGGATGCCAACATGAAGGTACTTTCTGTGCGTTTGGTTGTGTTGTGGCCTGTGGTGAGCGTGATGTGACAGCTTCTGTTTTCGTTTGTACGCATGATTTCAGTGTGAGCTTTGCTTGGCGGAGGGGACATGAGCGTCTGGTTCCTTGCGCGTCCGTGTGATGGCGTTTTGTTGTTTCCTAGTGGTGAAGGCCCCAGCTTGGAGCAGGCAATTTTGCCAAGAGATTTCTCTCCTTTCCGTCGGCGAGGACACGAGGGGACGCGCACGCGATGGTCTGTTTTGACGTGGGTCAGACCAATTTTCGAATTGGCTTCACCGAGATCAACGCGCGCAGCATTCACCTGGAGAACCTGGGCTGCAGGCCAAGGCTGCAGCTCCTGTTGCCGTGTTGTGTCGGCGATAGCCGTAATGGATGCACGCTGGCGTGTCTCCTTGCCTCTGGGACATCAGAATCCTGGCCCCCTCCCTCCTCCTGCTCCTCCTCCTTCTTCCTCGCTGAGTGGGTGGGACGAAAAAGGGAGTTGACGGAATGAATTGATCGTCCTGACTGGACGGAAGAAGCCTTCTGCCCGCATTGGACTGGCAGGACTTGTTCGCAAGTGGGCGAGAGCTTTGATCGTCATGAAGCTCGTTCATGTTCCTGGGAGCACTGGGCACATTGGCCTCGCTGGCAGTCAAGGGATATGACAGAAGATTGAGAGAACCAATGAGGGTGCTGTACTGGAAAGGCGAAGGGGGGGAGGGGAGAGTAGGACGAGCACTGTCCACGGACCGCCCATGTGTCATGGGATATGGCAAGTTGACGTGTGCTGTCTGGCCGGCCAGCGCCGTTTGAACGTAGGAGGGGGTGAACCACACGCGGCCGCCCGGTGAGCTTGAACCGCCGCGCCCCCAAGAACTGTTGGCGAGAGGACTTGGCTCCACTCGTTGGCATGGCGGGTTGTATTGGAGCTGCAGTTCGTTATTAGGATATTGAGGCAGGTGGTATTGTCTGCAAGTTGATGTGCATGGACAAGGTTGGGAACGTATAAAAGGGGACGTATATGTCCTCGTGGCGGTATTGGATGACAATCTTATAGCGTCTATATATGACTGTCAGCATACTTCGCCTCGGCAACTTCGATTTGGACTTGTATACTCGTTGAACTGTTCCGAACAGACAAAGATAGTCCTTCTTCTTTTTACCGTTGGCAAAGATGATGTACGCAACAGGCTTGGTACGTTCGAGAGATAGTGTTACACGTCGTTTCAACCTTGACGCCCGCGAAGACCGCTTCATCATCGTCATTCAAGCGGTGACTGCTTCGGAGCATCGTTATCTGAGAGAGCTCCTGTCAACGCAGTCGTATCCTGACGAAAGAGACTGTCACGGCCGGCAAGTTTTCTACCGCTACCACCTGTGGATATTCGACACCCCCCCGCTGGTACTCGGAGATTCTGCTCGTAACGGAAGACAATAGCAGACTGACGGCGGGACCTCAAGCCTGAAGTTCGACGGGGCTTCAAGAGCCCCCTTTGTGCCTGTGGGCTTCGCATGGAAACGTCTTCAGCGGACAAGGCTTATCGACTTCAGGCACCTTAGGTAGGCAGGTGAATGTGTCTTGCCGTCGAGGCTGGGACCCTCTTGGGCCTCTGACCTCGCTCGGTCTTTGAGCAACGAACAACTAAGGAAGGTGCGGTGGACTGGCATACTTTCCACGTCTAGCACCTACCGTGCTTTCGGTTCTGTTCTTCTAGCCCTCCTGCCTTCCTGCCTTCCTGACTTCCTGCCCTCCCGCCTTCCTTCCTTGGTGCTCTGCACCTGCCCTGCAACCATCAAGCTCGGGGTCCGACTGCCCTTAAGCAAAAAGGAAAACACCCGGCTGTCATCGTGGTGATCACACTTTCCATCATCCTCACTCCCGTCGCCCACCGCCCCCTTCCTCGACTGACCGCTCCCACGTCGCCTGAGATCCCCCACCTAGGTAGTTAGGTATCTGGAGATATTCATGCCGAACTAGGTAGCCGCTGGATCATCGACTCGCTGTACGTATTCCTCGCGCTTTTTTCCCGACCTCGCTTGTGAGATGCTGCTTACCAGGCTGGCAGGTTCTCCTCGAGAAATACTCGCCAACGTCTTCTCCTTCTAGGTTGCCCTTCACCTGACAGCGCAGGCCATAACGTCAGAATTTCTGGACAGGAAGGTAGTTGGATCTACGGGAGCAATCAGTTCTCAGCTCGGTTTCGCCCTTGCCATCTCGCCATTTTGAGTCCCTTCTTTGACTTCACCCGAGCGAGGCAAGTCTATCGTTTCACCACGATCTCCCGCTTGGCCCTGCTAACAGCTGCACAGCTGCTCAAGACAACACTTTCCCCCTCAGATATCAACATCACCATTTACCCTTGGTCCTTCTGCAAAGGACAAGCACAATTCTCCTGCCTCAGATGGCGCATCTACAACCGATCTTGAACTTGACAGTCGGCACCATGAATCCTGCCAAGACCGACAATGGTGCTGCGTCCGACACTCCCAAGTTCACCTACACCACTGCTGGCACCATCTTCAACCCTGACAGTGTTCAACCTATCCAGGCTCCCACTCGCCGCTCTCGTACTCAGAAATGGGGATTGAACTCTGCTGCATCTTCTGAGCTCACCTTTTTACCAAAGTCAATCATCGCCAACCTGCCTATGAGCAGTAGTCTCGCGAGGAACAGCGTCCCCGTGAACTCTAGCCCTGTCGTTCCTCATTACTCGCCTCTTCAGCAGAACTACGACCGAGCCGTCAGCCCGCTTTTCCCCGACAGAAGCTCCGAGCCCCCGTCTCCTGCTGATATGGATCCTGCCCAGAAACGGCCTGGCAGTGTGCCCGCTGTCTCGTCGGAGACCACCATCGGCATCGGCAAACCCGTCGACATGGCCGAGGGACTCGAGGATGACCTCGATGAAGACATGTCGGAGGATCCAATCTCCACCCTCACCGTCAAGTCACTCAACAGCCTGGCATCGTACCCGAACCCGAACCAGCAGAAGGCTCAGAAGGCTCTTCGTGCTCGTCCTGGCGCGCGGTCTGCCGCCTCCAACAGCGGGAACACCCTGACGGACCGCTCGGCTACTCCTTCCTTTGGAACTTTCTCTTTCGGCTGCTCTGATACTGAGACTGGTCGCTCCACTTCGCCCACGACTCTTCGCGGCGTGCTTGCTGGTGGTTCGATGACATTTCCTCCCGAAGGCAGGCAGCGACAGACCGGCCCGGTCAGACAAGTCACCAGCATCCCTCCCGGCTTCGAGACTGTCGATTTGCAGGGCGCCAACAACTCCTATAACGCCAACACTGTCTACCAGCCGGATCTCGGCACTGGACCGGGTGCCCCGAAGCCTCTCACTGCCGGACCGCCCGGGCAGCGCCAGTATAAGGTTGCCAATAGCGACACAGCCCTGCGTAACCCTCCCAACAGCACTCCTCACAAGTTTGTCGTTGCCGACGATGACCCTGCTGCTGTCGAGTTCCGCGCTCTCCTGCAGAACACGAGCAAGTTGGCGGCAACTGAGATGCTGTGCCCGGCTAATGCCAGCGGCGTCACCACTTATCCAGCTGGCGAGGGCGAGCCGTCTTTCCATGGCGTGTGCGAGGCACCGATCCCCGAGTCAGCTCGGGCGCCAGCCCTTGGTGCGCAGATCGTCAAGCCGCCCACGCTGAAGGCCAGGACGAAGAGTACGCATACCTGGGACACCAGGTGCTTTGATGAGGTCAAGCACTTTTACCCTCGTGGAGGCCCTTCTTTCCAGAACTTCACCGAGCTTGACTCGGACTGGCAGACTATGTACCCCTTGCACCCTGCCTGGCAGTCAAAGGAGGGTATCTTCCGACGATCCGAAATGCACATTCAGCGACGTAACGACGCGGTCCACCGTCAATTCTATGCCGGCGCCGACGCCTTCGCGAAGTCTGTCGGGCAGCTTGCCCGTGAGGCGGAGAACCGTCATCACCAAGAGACTGTAGGTGTTATCGGACAAGGTCGCCCCCAGCGCGGTCAGGTCAAGCAAGGAAAGCTGGAAATTCATGAAGCAAACGAAATGAGCACTGCCGAAGCGGCCAAACCATTCTTGACCATGATGCTCACATCCATGATCAACGGCATGGAAGAAACCGAGAGAATGACGAGACGGTACAATTCCTCTGCCGAATGAGCTCGGCGTACATTTGTTTCACCCTTTTGATTTTGTCATAAACAGTCGACTTGAATGAGAACAGACACGGAGCACAGAACGTATCTTGACATTCTCAGCCTTTTCCAGCGTGTGTTCGCTTGGATGGAGACTTGGGAATGCAGCCTCGTTGGTAGACAAGGCGGGGAGGACGGAGGTTGTTGAACTGAGAGACGTCAAGCTTGTGGGAAAGCTACAGCGTATTGAGCTTACGAAGGAAGAAGGCGAGAAGAAAGATAATTAAAAAAAAAAAAACAGAGAAGACCATGGGTCTAGCTAGGGAACAAGGCGCATCGTCGTTCAACAACAAAGGTTGTGTGAGAGGGGCTAGCTGGTTGGGACCATCCACAGCCGTCATTCAGATACCTGTCGAGTCGTAGACTTTTTGGAATCATTGCTACCACGCGAGCTGGAATATGACGTGACGTTGAGATGTGATGTGGTATTATTGGCGCTGCGGAGGGCTCTAAATGGGTCTACTATTGTCATGGCAGGCATCTAGTCAATGGACAGGATTTTGACGTCGGGGTTCTTCCCCTTGAAGAAGCGCTCTACTGCGTCGCTGAGGGTCCAGACAAACTTGGTAATGTATTCGGCGTGATACTTGGACCTGTAGTCGTCGTCAAAGACCAGGTCCTTGGTGTCATGCTCGACCGACTTGCTCGAGTCGCGCCGACGCCCCGGCACGTGGACAGTCTCTCTGTGCTGGCGGAAATGCGCGGCGGCGCAGCGCGTCGAGCAGTAGACGACGGCGGGGCTCTGCGTCTCGGCGCACTCTTTGCAGATGGCGGGCCTCGCGGCCTCGTCGCTGCCGACCATGTCG